CTAACCTAGCCGCGTAAGAGCGAGAATTTCCGGGATCTTCGCGTATGTTTCGCGTTTGGTGGTGTCGCGTTGGAAATTCGAATTTTTCGCGAGGTCGACGTCGCCTTTAAGGACGTCTGGCGCCCAACTTTCGCGTTTCGCGATTCTCGCTCGGCCGCGTGAGCCTTAATTGTTTTTTAACCTGCAACGTACAAGCGAATAACGTCGCAATATAGTATATATTGCTTTTATTAACGTTTAAACAAAAAATACTTAAGCAAAAGTACATTTTCAGACTGATTTTTAAAAAGTAACGGAAAAGTAACGAAGAAAAGTTACCTTTCGAATAACGGTAACTGTAACGAGTTACTTTTAAAAAGCGATAACTAGTAACGCGCGGTAACTCGTTACTTTTTTATTCAGTAACGAGTAACTGTAACTTGTTACTTTTAAAAAGTAACTTTCCATTCCCCTCCCCTGGTTACATCACTAGTGTAAGAAATCAACTAAAATCTCCCTGTCGGACTGTGTGGCTTGTTCGTACGAACTACTAAGAGGACCTCGGTTCGAGTCCCGGCATCGCGTTCGAGCGTCCGACATTTTTTCTCGGCCCAGCTCTTACACTAGTAAGTTTGTTTAAAAATGTATTGCAATCCGTACAAAATGACTTAAACGCAAAACAGATAATGTGGACGAAGGAGAAAATGGCGTTATCGAAAGAAGTTCTACACAAAGAGACAAAAATTGAAGAACTTACAAATGAGCTGCATGAGATAAGAAATCTCAACAAAGAATTGCAAAGATCTACAATCTAACATTTCGGCCAAATAAAGGGTTCATATTCAATTGTCTTGCATTTAATGAAATGTAACATGTGGTTAATACAATATAAAGTTATAATAGAATCATGCGATGCAATTTTTTTTATAAAAAAATGTTTTAATCTACACAATTGTATTACCTAGCTATTCCGAAATATCTGAAAGATCAATCTTCTGTTGAAAAGAGCGATAATAAAAATGTTCACGAAGATCGCGCTATTACAACTGTTTTTGTACTGTGTCGTCGTACAAAGTTATGTTATGCCTGAAAATAGATCCGTGATAAAAAATGACAATTTGTCTCAAGACTTATGTATTGACAATGAGCCTGCACTGAAAGATCAATCTTCTGTTGAAAAGAGCGATAATAAACGGAAAGGTCGAGCGGCATTAAATTCTATTGAATGGTACTTAACCGTAGTCCAGAAACATATTGAACAAATTAGAAAATACACGGAGCATTTATATAATTATGATATTTATGATGATTTTGTATTATTTAACCGAAGAATGTTTTATATTTATTGTACTTTTTTAATTATATTTAAATTTCACTTTTATACATTGAAAATGACCCGATCGGAGTCGAAACGTCTGGAAATTTTATATGTATATAGTTTGTGTTACGTCCGGCGCTCTTTTTCGACTCAATTCTCGCCCCTGAAGTCTCTCTCGCACTCATTATATCGCGCCGTACGATTCGCCTGCGTACTTGCATTAACTTCTGCTAGCGCCGCACTTACGCGAGGGCACCACCTCCCGGGGCGCCTCACGCCGATTAATTAATTACTTAAATTCGCGGTTTAATTGATACCGCGATACAATTGGGAGCATGACGATGCCGACTAGGGCACTCCGCGCAAAACTATATCGCGCTATCTCGATTAGATCGGCCTTTTCTGCCAAAATCTTTGATCCTATGGATAAGCGTAATGAGAATACGAATTTACTGCGCATCGCGCGATACACACTGATCCGCGTTGACAGATAGGGCGAAAAGCTGTAGTGAAAAACTAAAATTCGGTATGCGGCCTTATCATAGCGTCTCCACGCTTGCTAACGAAAAACCGACTCGATACAATGTTTTCCATAAATACGGAGTAAAATTATACAAAGTGTTTAAAGATTCTACAAATTAAATTCAAATAGTCAATGACCTATCATAGAAAGAGCTCTAACGCGCATGAGCGTTGCCGACCACGGTCGTGAGCCGTGCGATCGGCGTGACTCTCGCGTCGTATGTCCTACTATCGTACTTTTTTTTCGGTCCGCTTTCGCTTTTTCCCGAGTTACCGTGGCAATAACAGTTCTCGTCTTTTGTCTCAATCTGAGAAGGAAGCCTCGTCTTGTTACAAATTTCGTCTTTTTTACTTATTCGATTCCGTTTTTAATTAATACAATTTAATCAGTCATGAATAATCAGATTCAAGTATAGAAAACGTGCAAACAGTGAACTGTGAGATTGCTCAATCCGTATTTCATCACATTTGTGATATATAATTCTATTCTTAAAGAATTTACTACTTCGATTACTTGTGTTCATTGGTTTATATGGCATTATTGAGATATTCATATTTGGAGTTTACATGGCATATATAAATCCTGATAATAGGATTATCTGTACAAATCTTGTCAATGATTATCGATGAATAAATATACTTCAAGAAGGAAATCACTCATCGAATTATAAAAGAGAACTCTCCATCACTAACGAACATAAAGGATTATCAAAGCAGACGAGGAAGTTACACTAAACAATCCACGTAAACGATAAGATTATATTGAATTCATCATAATAAACTTACGAAGTACAAAATTCTTTACATCATGGTAAGATTCTCTCTCATATAATTTCCATTATCTTTAATATCCTTTCGTAAATACTTCTAATTTTCTTATAAACTTTTGTTTCATTTAAAATTCATATTGTTTAATAATTACGATTTATACTTTATCATCAATTGATTCATACTAATAAATTCCTAACATTCTTATTTAAAATATAATATCAATAGTTACATGTTATTCAACTCAAATTTATTCAAATTTAAAATATGTCTTTCTTGTGAAATGTTAAATTGAACAACGTGAATATACATCGCGTTGTTATTTTCGTTACTAAAAACATTATATCTCAATGAATAAGATTTCTATTAATTTCAGTTTCTTAACATGTCGATTTCCTTCCTTTCAGCAAACTCCCATCTAAAGGATATCTGTTTCTAACACAAAGTATCAAAGCGGTGCGCCCACCGATTATCGAAATATTAATTATTCACAAAAGTGATTTATTGCCCTTTCTTCCAGGAAATTTGGCATTTCTACACGCCGCGGCCACCAAGCTGGCCCTATATAATCGAGCGAAACAGAGCGCTCTCATTCATTATTGTTCTATTTCCGATAGTACTATAAGGTTCTTCACGAGCGAAATTATCAAGTCTTTCTTATATTATAAATCACCATGCGGTAGATCAGTATTCGAGTATATATCTTAGCAGCGTAAATCCCATCGCGAGATACTCTCAAAATTCATTGTTAAGAGCCGAGTGTCGTAAGAACGCGAGCCTAAGTGTATAAGTTAACTAATTAATTATACAATCAAAGTAGTGCGCGTTCCGCCGTGTTCCACAATTTTACATTCTCGCGATTTTACAGTTGTATCGTGCGTAGTGCAGAATCTGTTAATTATTCGGACTCGTATCAAGCGATTATTTATTTTCGTACTTTTGAGTTTTCGCCCTTTCTTTTCTTTTCGTGGGTCTCTTTCTCTCGTTATTTTTCTATAATTTGTGTGTTGAATTAATAAAATTGTATACATATTAAGTGAACAATGATGGACCATCGTTTTTTTTTTGTGTGTGTTGTGTCGTCTAGTTAATTCCTTCCTCCCCCAGTGAGTAGCATTTTTCCCCTCAACGATTTGCAAGCAAGCGGAGTTTGAGCGCTGCCACATTCAGTAGCTCGATTCCGTGCCCCCTTTTTTTTTTATGCTGCTCATTGGTCGTCGCGATCATCATATCCGCCGAATCGCAGAGTATAATTCGCGTTATCGCGCATTCGCTGACCGGGATTCCATTCAATCGCGATGGTAAGCCTCCCGCAGTGAGTAGCATTTTTCCCCCTCAACGATTTGCAAGCAAGCGGAGTTTGAGCGCTGCCACATTCAGTAGCTCGACTCCGTGCCCCCTTTTTTTTATGCTGTTCATTGGTCGTCGCGATCATCATATCCGCCGAACCGCAGAGTATAATTCTCGTTATCGCGCATTTTTAATGCGCATCGAAGAGAGCCGTGTTTTATTTCCCGTGGCCGACGATGATTTATTTAGATGCTTACCATTTTCTTAACCGGTACTGCTCTTTATTGGTTTAGAAATCGACGTGCCGAGCGGAGAGCGTGGGGCGAATTCGCGGATGCGTGGCGTAGTCGTTTTGGAGATCCGGACTTTCAATTCGCACTTCGCGATGAAATTTTAAGACGCACGCAGGGAGAGATGGAATCGGTAGCCGATTATCTTACTTGCATGCAAGCTTTATTTGATCGACTCTGCCCTCCGTGGAGCCTGCCGGAACAGTTGAACTACGCTCATCGAAATATGTTGCCGCGCTTACAAGTCGTTATTAGACGCGATGAAATTTACGATTTCGCGTCGTTAGAACGAATGGCATTACGCGTTGAGCTAAGCCACGATGCCGCGACTCGTTACCGTGCTCCACCGGCCCCCGAGAAATCCCTGTTTCCTGACTTAGCATATCGACCGCCTAAGAAAAATCCGCGTACTCCAGTAGTAGCGGCGGCTGGATTTTCCGCGTCGGGGAATACTAATAATCGCCGAGGTAATCGATTCGAAGCCGGATCTTCGGCTCCGCCTGCGACCGCGACCACCGATGCCGCGAGCGCAACATCCGCGAGCTCGATAAAATGTTGGAATTGCGAAAAGACAGGTCATAGGGCGCGAGAATGTAAAGAAACGCGTCGTTTATATTGTTATCGGTGTGGCGCAGCGGACGTCACAATACGAAATTGCCCGAAGTGTTCGGGAAACGGAGAGGCAGGTCGTTAAGCCGTAATCACACTAGCGATTGCCGATTGGATTGAGATTGCGATTGGCGATCTACAATCATTCAATCACACTGACGATTGTTAGAATTGTGGCCGCTAACATATTGTGTCTACTGTCTGTGAAAAATAGCATCGAAAAAATGCCAAGAAATATTAATCAATATTGGCAACTGCAGGAGCAAGAATTGATTGTGATAATTATTATGCTCCTTGCAAGTAATACCAACAAGAGAATTTGGATGCATCGATGGATAGCAAGAAGAAAGGAGAAAGGATTACATCATAACCTTTTCTTAGAACTCAGTCTAGAAGATCCCAACAGATTCAGGAGGTGTGTACATAAGAGTTTACATTTTTTAATGTACATTTAAAAAATAAATATTAAAGTAATCAATTAATAATATTTATTACAGGTGTTTACGTATGAACACAGAAACTTTTGAAGAACTTTTAGAGAAGGTTTCTCCACTCATTGAAAAGAAGAATACACATTTGAGAGAAAGTATTCCAGCAGCAGAAAGACTTTCTTTAACTTTGCGGCATTTGGCTACAGGTTAGAATAAATTAAATTATTGGATATATGTATATTTTTTATCATTACTTTTGTTTATGTTGGTATTTTATTTTTAGGAGAGTCACAGGAATCCTTGTCATTAACTTTTAGAATAGGTCAAAGCACAATATCTGGCATCATAAAAGAAGTATGTCGAGCTATCGTTACTGTATTGAAGGAAGAATATTTAAAAGCTCCTTCTTCTGAAATGGAGTGGCAAGAAATTGCACGAAATTTTGGTGAACTGTGGCAGTTTGAAAATTGTATAGGTGCAATTGACGGGAAACACTGTAGAATTGACCCGCCACTAAGATCAGGATCACTTTATTATTGTTACAAGGACTTCTTCAGTATTGTTTTAATGGCAGTTGTCGATGCTCACTTACGCTTTATATACGTTGATATTGGGACAAATGGACGAATAAGTGATTCGGGTGTATGGAATAAATGTACTCTCAAGGCTTGTTTAGAAAGCAATAGTCTTCATATTCCAGGTCCATCTCCACTATTTGGCACAAGAGAAATGTTTCCTTATGTGTTAATAGGTGATGAAGGTTTTCCTTTAACAAAGAAACTCCTTATACCGTATCCTGGTTCTCAGTGCTCTGGTAGAAAACATCGAAGAATTTTCAATTATAGGTAAGATATCTTAAAAATTAAATGTCAAAATTCTCCTGATTATGATTTTATTGATAAAGGATCGATGGTAATACTGTATTATACATTTCTTTAGATTGTCAAGAGCTAGACGTTGCTCAGAAAATGCTTTTGGTATTCTTGGAGCCAGATTCCAAATATATCGAAGTGCAATGAGATATGATCCAGATGATGCTAAAGTGATAATAATGGCAACTTGCTGTCTTCACAATATGTTACGGAGTAAAGTTGTTGGCAGGGCTATGTATACACCTCCATCATTTATTGATGAAGAAGATATAATGTCAGGTGAAATCAGACCGGGTAATTTCCGGGAAGAGTCAACAAATGGTTTAATAAACCTGAATAATCAAGGAGGGAATAGGCACGCAAATTCTGCTATTCTTCTAAGAAATAAATGGTGCGATTATTTTAATGCTGAAGGTGCAGTATCGTGGCAAGAGCGTATGGTGCGATAAAAAAAAAATGTAACATCATTTATACGTTCTTTAAAAATATATTTTTTTATGGCTTGCTGTCAGAAAAAGTACATATGAGGATTGTACACAGTATAAAATACAAATAATAAACTATATTAACTATATGAACTATTTGACAAAAATGTCTTGTTATTTGTGTACGCATACCTATTTTTTTAAGGGCCTTAGCAAAATGGCTGATTTTCATAATCTTAAAATAATATTTTATATTTTATGATCTAAATTTTTGTTTTTTTTTTGCTACAGCCCTTACAATTTCTATAATAATTTATCACGTCTTTACATAAACCTTTAAATAAAATATAAAATATTTCCAACAGTTCAAACTCAAACGTAACACATTTAATATTTAATACTATTAAATAAAAAAACAGAATTATAAAAATAGAACAATATTGTTATCATTCAAGATTACGTATTTTTCTCCTGCGTTTCAATAGAGGGAACAGTAGTAAGAATTTTTAGAATCTCTGTTTCATAATACAAACGTCTTTCTGGTTCCATCTCCCTTAATCGAGCAGCAACAAATAAACCCAGATATTCACAAGTATCATTAATCCTAGGTGATGATTGTTGATGCATTTGATCTTGTGACGTTTTCCTATTACCTATTCTTTTTAATGCTTGCACTGCTTCTTCCATAACAGTTGTCCTTTTCATTGCGCCACGCTTTACATAAACTGAATTATTGGCTTGCTTTTCATTTTGAGACATAGAAGTTAAATTTGAAGATTGCGAAGATGTACATGTAGAGCGAGAATCTTGTAAGTTTTCAGAAGCAATTAATTCAGAATTTGTAACGTCTAACACACACTCTTCAGATAATACAGATGTATGTGGAACTCCAACTTTTTCAATTGAAGTACTGCTACTGCTGGCAGATACAGGTATACATGTGGGTTCTAAAGACGAATTTGAAACTATAGAACTGGCATCTTGATGTAATGCCTGTGAAGTAGATGCATCAAAGGTATTATCTGATATTAATACCCATTTCTAAAATAGAAATAGAACATAACGCCTAATACTATATTTATGATGAAATTAATTATATATAATGATATACACCCAATTAATTAAAAAAAGCATTATTTCTCATTTCTTAAAAAGAAACTGCTTATTTTTTTACTTAATTCTTTAGTTATAATTACCTGTAAATTAAAATCAAAATATATATTATTATTAATTGAATTTGCAAGATTATCGTTCGTATTTTCATTGATGTTAGTGACAGCCTGACCATCATCTTTTAGACTATCAAGATTTGATGAGCTTTCTGTTTGCACACAGGCTTTCTTTAAGAATAGCAGACTTGTGTAGAATGACCACTTAGGTTTATAAATCTCATCGGTACCTTTACCACTGCATCTTTGTTTTGATTCTCTTATTCTCTTTTCATTGTTCATGAATGTAGTTCTCATATTAATAAATCTGTCACGAACTATTTCAGCTAAAAAATAAAATATTTTAGATATTTAGCTTAATCCTTAATATAGAGAAATATAACCTAACATAACCTTAATCTATTACATTAAGGCAAGGAAAATGAGGTAAAAAAATTCATAAAAATAAAATTTACAGCTACATTATATACTTATTTGAATCTTCTACTTACCTGTTATATTTGGAATCCCCACAAGATCTGCTACTTCTTGCCAAAGGACTTCTTTTATATCGTTTCTTCTGTACGTTGGATGAGAAACATCCCACAACTGCGGTCTATTTTTTACAGCATCAATCAATAAAAATTCTTGATCAATAGTAAATATTTGCTTTTTTGGAGGCATTATACACATAAACTCGTATTAAGTGTGACACTTTAGACTAAAGAATTTAATGTATTGTAATATATTGTATGTGTTTCAAACCTATCACGTGACTAAAATCACAATATTTCATTCGCTACGATTGGCCGACAACTGCGATTGACGATTATAAAATAGAGCATTGTCTAAACGGCAGTCACTAATCTCAATCGGTTACTGCTTTGCTTTGATTGGTTGAAAAGTAATCGTCAATCGCCAATCGCAATCTCAATCCAATCGGCAATCGCTAGTGTGATTACGGCTTTAGACCGGGTCCGCGCGACTTCAGCCGAAACGGGGGAGGCCCATGTTCCACGGGTGGACGTGGTAGTGTACGCGGAGAGAGTCTTTCGTTTGTCGGAACTACCGCCTTTGCGGTACTTCGTTGCCAGTGATCCGATAATGGCCCTCGTGGACACGGGATCGAGCCGAACGATTATGGGAGATGAGGGTATTGCGATCGTGAGACGCCTGGGATGGCCGACGCGGCGCGCGGAGGATATTCGTATACGCACGGCAAATGGACAGATAGCTGAAATAAAAGAGGAGGTAAAAATACCTCTAATACTCGAGGGTATGCAGCGAGAAATCGATGTGTGTTATTGCCGACTTTGATCGTTCCTTGCATTATTGGCATGGACTTTTTGTGCGCGTTCGAATTAAATCTCGATTTTGCTGATTCGAATTGGAGCTTCTCGGCTCGTCCGGGAGAGCGATACCCCTTTGAGAAGCGAGATGATTGCCTGGCATGTGCTTGCTGTGGACTTTCGGAATTAACCCTCGGGCAGGAATCAAGTTTAAAAAAATTATTAGCAAATAAATTGTCGAATGCCGTTGCCGAGTCCGGTGTCACCTCTCTCACTGAACATCGTATAGATGTTGGTTCGCATCAACCGATTAAGCAGCGATGTTATTTAGTTTCGCCGAAGGTACAAGACGCGATTCGCGGAGAAGTGGATAGGATGTTAGCAGCAGGTATAATCGAAGCTTCGTTTAGTGAGTGGTCGAATCCGATAATGATGGTGAAGAAGCCGAACGGAAAATATCGTTTTTGTTTAGACTTTCGTAAAGTAAATGGCATCTCAAAGAAAGACGCGTATCCGTTGCCGAATATGACCGGAATATTAGATAAATTAAGATCTGCTCGATATATCTCGACGATCGACTTGAGTCAGGCGTACTTTCAAGTACCCTTGGCGAAGGAAAGTCGCGAGATAATCGCATTTAGTGTTCCCGCTAAAGGATTATACCATTTTACGCGGATGCCGTACGGGCTCACGGGAGCCCCGGCTACTTTCCAACGTTTATTGGATAAATTGATTGGTCCAGAAATGGAGCCGTACGCGTTTGCCTACCTTGACGACATTGTAATTGCTACACCGACCTTTGAAGGACACTTAGAGTGGCTCGAGCGAGTTTTAAATAAGATTTTCGATGCCGGTCTTGAAATCAATCCAGATAAATGTGAATTTTGCCGTTCTCAAGTGAGATATTTGGGATTCGTTGTGCAGAGGAACGGCCTAACTGTCGATTCAGAAAAAGCACGATCAATCTTAGAATATCCTGCGCCGCGTAATATCAAACAGTTGCGCCGGTTCTTGGGAATGTCGTCTTGGTATCGTAGATTCATCCCGCAATTTGCCACTGCGGGAGAACCACTAACTCGACTATTAAAGAAAAATCAGCGTGGGGAGTGGGAAGTCGAACAAAGGAGAGCCTTTGAAGAAATTCGTGCTCGTTTAGCTGCCGCGCCTACGTTGTCATGTCCAAATTTTGAAGTTCCATTTATATTACAGACCGATGCTAGTTCTGTTGGATTAGGTGCCGTACTATCTCAGATTAGCGAGAATAAATAGACTATTATCGCGTTTGCGAGTCGCGCGTTATCAGCCGCGGAAACGAGATACTCGGTCACAGAGCAGGAATGTTTAGCCGTCGTTTGGGCAATACGGAAGTTTAGACCTTATTTAGAAGGTTATAGGTTTACTGTGGTGACGGATCACAGTAGTTTACGTTGGCTTCATCACTTGAAAAATCCTACTGGTAGATTAGCGCGTTGGGCGTTAGAACTTCTAGAATATGACTACGAAATTGTGCATAGGAAAGGCGCGTTACACAAGGCGCCGGATGCTTTGTCGCGTATGTTTGAGGGTGACACCGGGACGGCAACGGGGAAGGATGAGACGTGTTTAGTCGCAATGGTAAAGGAGTCGGTTCCGAGAGACGCAGAGGATTCCTGGTATAGGGAGCGTTTCAGAGAGGTTTCGGAGAAACCCGAGACGCTCAGGGAATGGAAGGTAGTAGATAGTCAGTTATATTTTCTGAGTCCTCGTGCAGTGACCTCCGAGGTCGTGGAGGATTTGAATAGATGGAAATTAGTTGTACCATTGAAGTTGCGAACGGAAGTCTTGCGCGAATCGCATGACGCTCCGCAATCAGGACACTTAGGCGTAGAGAAAACATACCGCCGTTTGTCGACCGCGTACTACTGGCCTCGTATGTTTCGCGATGTGACGAACTATGTAAAACAGTGTCAGATTTGTCAGAGCACAAAAGTCGAACAGGCGAGACCGGCGGGTTTGATGGGCCGTCGCGTAACCGAGGCTCCGTGGATAATCGTTGCCGCCGATATTATGGGTCCGTTGCCGAGGAGTAAATCGGGTCACGCGTATATTTTGGTCATTCAAGATTTATTTACGAAGTGGGTGGAATGCCGTGCACTGCGGGCCGCAAACGGGAGAAATATTAGAGACGCTTTTACAGACTTGATTCTCTCGCAATGGGGCGCACCGAGATTTTTGCTAACAGACAACGGCACCGAATTCGTAAATAAAATTTTGCGAGAATTCGCGGAAGAGAACGGAATTAAACATACGACGGTGCCGCCCTACCATCCTCAAGCGAATCCGGTTGAGAGGGTGAATCGCGTCCTTAAGACCATGATTGTCTCTTTTCTAGATCGCGATCATCGCGAGTGGGACGTTCACTTAAATGATTTTCGATTCGCGTATAACACGGCATATCAATAGGATCTACCCCCGCTTTCTTAAATTTAGGCCGTGAATTAGAGGCTAGTGATTCGCTACGTAGACGCTGCGATCCAACGGTCGAGGTTGAATCCCGCGACGCGCGAGAGTGATCGAAGCGTATGAAGGATCTACAGTCACTGCACGAGTGGGTTAGAGAGAACTTAGAGGCCGCTTACCAGAAGCAGGCTAAATATTATAATAGTCACAGGCGCGACCGAGTTTTTGTTGTCGGCGATTTAGTGTGGAGGCGCCGAAATGTATTGTCGTCCGCGACGCAGGGAATAGCTGCCAAATTGTCACCGAAGTTCCAGGGACCTTTTAAAGTTGTTGGCGTTCTATCGCCTGTTGTATATGAGCTTGCTGCTCTAGATGGTGCTTCTGCGGGAAAGATTCACGTAAAGGATTTGAAGCCGTATATCTCTCCGCATTGAGTGGTGTGTTTAGAATTTTAAAAATTGTACTCTCCCTCCCTCCCTTAGTTGCCGTAGCCATGGAGGAGAGGAGGCGGGAGTTTGAAGAGAGATACGAGGGCGCTTTCGCCCTCGTCAGAGAGCACTACCCCGGGTTCTTTGTGGACTTGGAGGACCTCTGCCGCTCTGCCAGAGAACACCGCAACACCACGAGCGGAGCGATGGTGAGAGAGTGGCCCTCCACCCGAGAAGCTGCCGTGCAGCACGATCCGGGTCGGGAGGAGAGGTGCACGCAGACCGATGCACCTCCCCCTCCCCACAGAGCACCCGAGAGGAGCCGAAGCCGGGGAGGGGAGAGAGGGGAGAACCGCCCCCAAGAAGGACGCCTGCCGGACGTGGTCCGGGGGAGGCGGGCTAGCCGTTCCAGGGAACGGACCCCCGTGAGGCAGCGGAGCAGCACCGCTCGCCCGGCTGTGCGGGGGTGCTGGAACTGTGGAGGTGCGGACCACCGCTACTCGGCGTGCCCGCGACCCCGCAAAGGCGCGGAATTCTGTTTCGGGTGCGGACGGGCCGGGGTCACCCTGAGGACATGTTCACGGTGCCGCGAAGATTGGGAAGAGATCGGGCCCTACCACCCGGGTAAGGGCCATATCGGGAGACGAGCCCCCTAATAATGTTGCCGAACGGATGTATCCAGGGGGAGTAGAAAATAAAGATATATTTTTTTTCTATAAGTAGTTTTGTTTCTTTTATAAAAACAACTCCCAAAGGTGTTTGATAAAATCATTCGGTGAGAGGCTTCTTTTGTTGTGCTTGTCTTATGCCATACTCATCCGGAGGATGACGATTCAACCCGTGGCTTCTTGTGGCGGCGGAGGCTGTTGTGTCGTTTTGTCATGTTGTGATGTTCCTCGACTACCGAGACCCGGACGCGGCGATCGGAGAGGGGGGAGGTTGGAGCGTCCATGGGGACGTTGCTAACCATTTTGGAGTTTTCGTTTTTGGTGTTTCGCTTCTAAGTAATGCATTCGTTAATGCATTCATATAGTTCATTTCGATCTCTTTCTCTCGTCCATAAGCTGATTGGTATAGGTGACACTGCGGAGATGAGGGCAGTAAGCACGAAGCAAGTACGGTGGCAGATGACGCTCGTCGTAACCTCCTCGGTCTGTTTTAAGGAGGGGGGAGTTGTGACGTGACACTTTGTGTCCGTCACTCGTAAGTGCACCGGCACGGAGATCCTGTGTCCTCTAAGCTCGAAGGGCGAGGGCACATGTGAGCGTGCCAAATTTGTATTTTTTGTTTCGTTTTGTATATTCTTTTATATAAGATATTTAGTAATTTTTCAGATTTTTAAAGAACAATTATTAGTCACTTTAGAGCGTAAGCGGTGGTTGTTTAAATCTGTGTAATGTTGCCGCCTCACTCACGGAAGGAAAAAAGAAGACGACGCCGAGGAAGCAAGAAACCACCGAGGGAGATCCCGATCGTATCCTCGAGGAGCGCGGTACACGCAGGTCGTATTGTTTTGGTTACCTTTGATAATTATGATATTAGTTGGTGATTGTCGCACCTTTATTGCAGACGACTCGGAGAGAGACGTAATAAGGGACCGTCTCAGCACGGCCAGAGAATTGGCAGCCGCCTCCACCTCTGAGGAGAGCGAGAGAAGACCGCTGATAAAGACGGAAAGCCTCGGCCAGCTAATTTGGAAAAGCGCGCCGAACACTCAAAGGATACGCAACCCGCAGGACTCACTGTAATTGGTCGCGGGGTTGCGCGGCTCTAATAGACCAATTAGAGCAAGGAGCAGCCCGATAAGAGAGGGTCTAGCGGTCTGCGTGGATCCGCGAATGCTCCCGATCATCACTTGTGCGGTGAGCAATTTGTAAGGAGGACGCAGGATCTCCGGAGCATTTGCGATCTAGCTCGAACTTTTGCCGTTGCCGATAAAGGAAAGAGAGGACCGCTTCCAGTAAAGGAACATCGAGGGATCGTTGCGTGGTGAGGCAGGCGTCATCCTATAATTCTGTAAAACCACCGATCGCGGTACGTGATATGCATCTCGAGCGGAGCACACGTTAGGCTTTACTCCGATTTTTCGTAGCCGATTCCGGATCGGTCGCCTATAGGCATTTCAAGTTACTGTTGCCGTGAATGCGTGCTCTCCGCTCAGATGCTTGAATTTGAGAATGTATAATAGTGTAGTTGCTCGCCCTCGTTGCCGCCAAGTCACGTGTGTAATTGTAAATTATTGAGAATTCTTAAAAGTCGAGACTGGCGTTATCGCGCCTTTGAGAACCGTTGCCGTCTCATGTAAAATTGTATATTTCAATTGTTCACGAAGTAATCATTGTTAATGTAATAAGATCTGGATTTTGTCGCTCATTTCTTCTCGACAAATTATTGCCGAATTTACTTCCTATTGTCGACGGCCATTTAATAGTCGGTTCCTTGTTATTGTGCCGTATACCAGAGCGCGGAAGGTCAACGCTGTAACATACTGTCTTACGAACACTTTTGTACAGTCTCTGTAAAATATATTGATTTCTCTCTATTGTCATCATTAATTCTGGTGCATTTATTTCAGCCTCTCTGTCTTTCTCCGATAATCTTTTCCGCTTACCGCGAACCCCTCCCCTCTGCCAATTCCGTTGGCTGAGCTAGTCATTTCGTCCGTCGCGAGAATCCGCGTAATCTTTACCTTTTTGTCCGAGCAAATTATCTAACCATTTGTGCGAAGAGTGGCACGCTCTCTCGTGCCTGGCGCAACTTACCGCGAACCACTCCCCTCTGCCAATTCCGTTGACTGAGCTAGTCATTTCGTCCGTCGCGAGAATCCGCGTAATCTTTACAATTTTGTCCGAGCAAATTATCTAACCATTTGTGCGAAGAGTGGCACGCTCTCTCGTGCCTGGCGCCCAACGAATTTTGATAGCGACTAAGATCTTCGCTGAGCGAGGTAACTCGCTAACTTCTGTAAAATCTCGAATCACGCGAGAATTATTCACGAACCGCACTATTGCTCCAGTAAGTTGTAACGATGCCCCCCTAAAATGCATCGTTCCCGCGTGGTGCCCACGGGAGTAGGAGCGAGTATTGTAATTTCTTTATCATATAATTGTCTTAATAAACCATGTTTCTTGTCTAATTCTTATTTTCGCATTAGTATTTTTCTTTTCCGATTTCCGACGCTTCACATAATTTTCCGCCGCACCGTTCCGACGCGAATACTCATTCCGCCGAACCTTTTTTATACGACACGCATTTTTCCGATGAGCTAGTCCGAGTATAAAAATTAGGTAGTTACAAAGTATTGTTCATCTTAACTAAGAGCTTTCGCATCACTAGATTTATTTTGGAAAACGCGACGAAGTTGTGCCGGCACTTAAAAGTACGGTTACAGTTAATAATGTCGATAAGATAGCACCGTGTGGATCAACTCAAGCAAATGAATCTATGAATAATATCATAGCACAGAAGTGTTTGAAATCGAGACATTATGCAAGTTCTGAATCTTTAAATTTTAGAGTTGCAGCTGCAGTATGTCAAAAGAATCTTGGTCATAAATATATAGAAAATGTTTTTGACAAGCTTAAGTTGACACCCACTCAGGAAACTATTAAATTTTGACGTCAAAAAGATATGAAAAGGGAGAGAAAAGCTGTACGTTCTAAACAAGTAGCTTATAAAAAGAAAAGGCTTGAGTTAAAAAAAAAATCGTTCTACAAAAATGCGGCTGATAGTAAAAAAGAAGGATTCACTTATGAAAGAAGCATGAACATAAATTCAATTTCGGAATTGATCCCTAACACAATTCTCACTAAAAATGAACTCCAAGATATCAGCATGTGTAAAGTAGTACTGTTTGACTTAGAAACAACTGGATTATCTAAAAATGATGAAATTCTCTTTCTTAAAGAAGGCATGTTAAATCGATACTTGAAGTTTATTGTTGTCGCTTTTCCGCGATGATGATTGGTTCCCTCGCGTCGCTTACTTCGTGAGCAGTTGTCATCGCGGAGATTTTGACATAGACACGTGTGAACGTATTGAGGTTACTGAGGTTAAAAGCGTAAAAGACTTCGCTCAAGATCGTCTCGCAATCAGATAAGTTTATAACTTTTATTAATTTATTTCTTCTAATTCTTTGTAGTTTGTAAATCGATTCTTTGTGATTCTTTGTGATTTTTAGTTACAAAGAAAAGGAGACATGTTACATTATTCTTCAAAAAAACGGTACAGAAAGGTTTAAAGGAAGGGAAGGAAAGGAAAGGAAAACAAGAAGTATGATTTATACGTACATAGTAGGGTATCGATAGTTAAATTTTTCGTTATAAAATTCGTAAAGGTGATAAAATAGAAGTGACAAGAATAATGAGTCAGACAGGTATAAATTAATAATCTATATTAATAATCTTTAAATTTAGAAAATGATACTTAATACTTATATTTTAATACTTATGTATATAAAAACAAATATACAAACACATATACATATGCAAATTTGTATGTAAATTTTTATATCTTGCGAATGTTATGTAAATGTAATGTAAATAGGTTTATAATTTTATATAATAATTAATGTATTTTATTGATTTCATAATAGATCTTCTATACTTGATTGTAAATTCACTTGAAGATTTATATAAAATTGAAGGGCATATGTCGTTACCAAACTTATAGAAAGGAGTTAAGACTCCAAAAAAAAAGAAAACTTAACGAAGATGAGAATAATCCGCCCCAAGTAAATAAATTTAAACAATAATATAAGAAATAAAGAAAAAACAAGAAAAGTAAGAAAAGGTATGTGTTTATGAATTATAATATTACACAAAGTATCAATTTTTATTATAATATTATAATATATTAGTTAAAAAAAAATCGTTCTACAAAAAATGCGGCTGATAGTAAAAGAGAAGGATTCACTTATGAAAGAAGCATGAACATAGATTCAATTTCGGAATTGATCCCTAACACAATTCTCACTAAAAATGAACTCCAAGATATCAGCATGTGTAAAGTAGTACTGTTTGACTTAGAAACAACTGGATTATCTAAAAATGATGAAATATCCCAAATAGCAGCTTATACGAAAGAATCTAGCTATGATATGTACATTATTCCTTCAAAGGGTATATCGAAAGGAGCGTCAGCAGTAACAGGGCTTCACGGTTTAAACGGTGAACTATACTTAAGGGAAAATCGAGTGCAAGCCGTGTCAGCTAGTCAAGCTTTTCAGCAATTTTTACAATATCTGGATAATTTCAAACGACCAATTATTCTTGCGGCACATAATGGATTCAGATTTGACACTCCAAGAATAATGAAACTAGCATGTGAAGTCAGATTGATTGATCAATTCAAAACATTGATCACTGGTTTTGCAGACACTTTACATATTGCACGAAAATTGCTTCCAGAACGAAGGAAAAATAAATTAAAGTTTTCTATAGAAGCACTTGCTACAGAATTTGTTCCTAGTCAGAATCTGGAAGCATTGCATAATGCTACAGATGATGTAATAACATTACAAAAAATATTAGATGCAGTGGGTATAACTGATGAGATAATAAAAAAAAATACGAAAACCATCCAGCAACTTTTACAAGAAGAGAGAAATGAGACAACAATATCAACTAATAAGGAATCTTTAAAACTGTTCAAAGAAAATATATCGGCATCCATGATAAATAAGATAGCTAAAGCTGGTTTAAATAAACTAATGTTGCAACAAGCTTTCGAAAAAGGTGGCTGTGAAGGTATTCGTGTTATATTAGGAGAAAGCGTTAATGGCAAAGCACGAGTTACCACGAACAAAAAAGAGAGAGAGTATTAATAAATATTTGTAATTTATTTACAAAGTTACCAAAGTAATCAAAAAGTTGTTACATGAAATTTATTATTTACTTTCTATTTGTATTTTAATTTATTACGAAGTGATATTAAAATTCTTATTGTTACTAGTCACCAAAGATTTGATAGTGTTATTGTATTACATTAAATAAATTTTATAATAAAATTTTGAAATGATTTTGATATAATATTGTTTATTTTATATAATACTAAAATGTTCCAAATATTTCTCTCGTTTGTATACAAAGATACTAAGATAAATTTTGATTTATTTTTTGGAAGTATGTATTTTGTTTTCTCTTATCTATAAATAATGCACAGATAATTAGTAAAACTACAAATAAGTGTTCTTCTCAATTTAAATTTACGCGTGCATTCTACAGTTACGTCACTTCCGACCACGTGACCAAGTGCTATTTAAGCCCATGGCACATAGAAAAACGTAAGGCCGTAAACGTAATCAGTAAGCGAATTGACCAATCACAGTTGAGAACATAAGCGGCCATGTTAGTACGTAAACCGCAAGGACGTAACATCGAAAAATTTCGTAAGGATGAAATTCTTACGTTCTACCTCTTACGGTTAACCAATCACAAGTGATTTGATGATCGTACAGTGCATACGTATACGAAACGGACAAAAACAACAATTCAGAATTCACCGTTTCAAACGTACTTTGCATTAGCAGTGAATTTGTATCGTAAGTATTAATTTATATTATTATAAAGAGAATTTGTGCAATTAAAACAGAAAATTTTATATTATTTCACTGCTCTGTGATAGATTTCGCTTAACCTAAATAATCGTCAATTTGATTTTCTAGATGAATTTCAATACGCAATATTGTGCTGATTACGATATATATAATAATAATGAAAATGAAAATGTTGAAAACATTGAAAGATGTGGAATCGAAATGGAAAATTTTGAAAAAGGATCTGATGAATTATTAATTGATGCGAACGTCTCATGTTAATAGGTCGTACCCAATATTGTCGATCAATCCAACGAACAGATACCTGTCTTTTTAATGCCCGAACACCAAGAATTAGGACAAATAATGCATGTGTTAATATTATTTCTTCGTCATCCATTATCTAAAAAAAATAAATAATAAATATTTAACATAAAAAATTATGAATATTAATTGAAAATAGATCAAAAAGATTAAGTCACATAAATGAAAAATTATATTAGGTCAAGGCGGTTCTTTGTGCTTGCTTAATAATATTTCTTGTGAATTTATACAATTTTCAGTTTAAATTAATATTTCGTATTCTATTGCAAAAAACATTACCTCAACCGGGAATCAAATTCGGATCTTTCTTTTGCTGAGAGGATATCCTCACAATTAAGAGTAACAGGCCTTAAAATAATTTATAAATTTTAAGATACTTATCAGGATCAAATTATTAATATATTTATATAATAAATAAAATTTGTAAGTATCGTTAATAATTTTATTAACTGTTCTCTCCATATGTATATATATAATATATAAATTTGAGGTTTTATCTTTCATTGCGAGTCATAAAACAAATATAAAACGGACATTAAATGCCAGCAATATTTTCTGTAACCATGCATTGCGTTGAATATAATATTTGGTTAAAAAATAAATAATTACCTTGCATATAGAATAATTATTCTGAAAGATCGTCTTCGCCACGGTCTCTTGTTAAATTTAAAAGGGAAAAGCCGCCAAAAACGCGGTTTGTTAGGTTAGATTTCAATGCGTGAATATGATTGGTAGAACGTAACGTCTAACGTTTTCTGTGTGTCATGGTCTATATGCTTACGGCTTACTGATTACGTGATACGGCCTTACGTTTTTTTATGTGCCACGGGCTTTACGCGCGTTATAACCTATACACTTTTTACAACTTGTTTATTAAATATCTCATTCATTTCTTCGGCAACGTATTATTTTTTTTTGCTTTAAATGATAAACGAGATCCTACACTTTCAATATATCAGTTTATTTACTTCTTGACACATTCTGAAAAGATATATATTTATAACTAATAAGTTTTTCATATCCCCCATAAGACATGTGTATTAATCGGACTTTTCAAAAGCGTTTTTCCTGAGTTTGAAGTCGGCAACCCTACCTAAAAACTTTACCTAGGGCTTTAGCTACTTTTAAAGAACAATATTTATATTTTTTCATATTTTTCTAGTCACCTTGCCCTAACGATAGAACCTCCTTAATTTGTGATATTACTTCCAATTTCATATTTTAATATTTTAATCTATTGTGTATTTTTGTTTCACACATAAATGTCATAATTCATTAAGCTTATGTCACACTACGGATTGTGGACGCGGATCGCGTATCAGTATTCAGCCAATCAAAACAAAGCAGCTTTATCTTGATTGGCTTTTTATTTAATTTTAACCAATGAATGTGCAGTGCAATATCCTTGGAAAGGTCTGAGGGACAATTTCAAAGTTTGTGATTTAAAATTAACGAAAGTAATAAAAGGTTATATATCTTTCAATGTCTTTTATGTATATATCGGTTATCATCTCTTTCATTTACCGCATTTGCTCAAAGTCGCAAATTGTTTTCTATGTGTTTTTACACTATGTATGATCTATATATTAATAAAAGTAGTTAGCATGAAAAAATATTTATATATATTATAACAAAAAATTAGAGATGGTAGGTATAGTAGCAACGTTATTTTTTATAACAACGATTTCATAATGGCGTTGCAATTTTTCATAATTATAACGATAATTATATACGATATATATTTATACTGTATACATTTCATATTTTGTTTCTGTTTTCATAGAAACAATATGCAAAGTGCACAACACCTTTACGGAGGCGGAATTCGATGCTATAGTGGCTTATATGCTATCGGAGTGGCTTCGGTTCGCCAAACAACGAACTGGACGCCAGACGCAAAAAAAAGCAGCAATGTTAGCAGTACCAACGGCACCAGCAGCACAAATAGCACCAATAGCAGAAAAAAATAACAACTGAATGACCGCAAATGATTGATAGTTTGTAGAGTACCCTCTTACATTAACATTTTTTTTGTTTAATTTACTAAAATGTTTATATCTCTACAAACGTTTTTGTTTCTGTAAAAGACAAAATTTATTTTTAATTTGAACTATTGAAATGAGTAGTATAGATAATTGCAACTAATTGATAATATTTTGTATTCAATTTAATGAAAAATTTGTACTTTTGAGTGTTCTATTTTCGAGAAAATGAAAAGTTATTTTTAATTTGTGATGAAATGTGATACAATAGGCCTGTTCTTTTCGACTGAACTTTTGCATCATTTCATCTTTCTTCCTTTTCTCTTCTCCTGGAGAGAAAAGGAAGAAAGATGAACTGGTGCAAAAGTTCAGCCAAAAAGAACATACCTTATATAATGATATAGCAATAAAAAGTACAAATACAATTATATAATAATATATAATATATTGTAATAAATGTAGTTATTTTTTTTAGTACAATATAAATGTACTGTAGTCTTTATAAAAAATACATGGGTAAGATACATGTAAAATAAATATGTATAAGAGAATACTAATAAAAAATAATAAATTTGATTATGAAACTTTTTCAAGTATAAAAATCTATTATAATGCCAAAAATACATAATATTTAAAATCCTAAAAAATTACAATTTCGATACTTTTCAAAATTTCATAAATAGTACATTTTTGGCCTAAATAATTGCTACTGTATATATACATATATATGTCTTTTATTTAATAATACAGGGAAGCCTGTTAAAAGTAATAATCTATATAAAAAAAACTATATAAATCGTTATACAAATTCAAAAGCGTAAAAAAGAAATAGAAGTTTGTAGTATAACCCATTAAGTCCTGAATGTCTTCAATTCTGAACTCATTTTCATCCAGTTTCTTTTCATATTATTTATGCCAAAAAAAAAATCGGACCCATGGTACTCGACGTAAAATTTCATGTTCTTTCAGAATATGACCTCAGAATTTACCTAACACCAATGCTTAAAAAGTTGTGTACAATTTATTGCAAAAAAATGTCATTTTTTTGACTAAATAAAATTTTAGATCTAAAATTTCTATATGATACCGGCAATATACACATCTTTTACCACATAGAAAAGCGTCCTCGAGTCCTAAATTTTAAAATATGTATGGTCCGAAAAAAAAATTTAACATAGCGGTCCTCAAAATGGCGTCCGAAACAAATTTTTTTTTTTTAATTTTCAGGGCGCTCTAACTCGAAAACTATGAACTTTTTCGAAAAAATGAAAAGTATGAAAAGTTACCAGAATTCATCGAGGAATACACTAGAATTTTTTCTGATTTTTCAGTGACATTTTTGAAAATTTTTTTATTCCAATTTTTTGAAAATTTTCTGGAATTTACGAAAAATTCTGAAATATTTCTTGACGCATTCTAAGTATCTTTTGTTCTTTATCATTTTTTCCAGAAGTCGATAGTTTTCGAGGAAGAAAATGCTAAACACTATACCACACATGTGTATGACCACTATACTACATAGTGTTCAGCATTTTCTTCCTCGAAAACTATCGACTTCTGGAAAAAATGATAAAGAACAAAAGATACTTATAATTCGTCAAGAAATATTTCAGAATTTTTTCAGAATTTTTCGTAAACTCTAGAAAATTTTCAAAAATTGGAATAAAAAAATTTTCAAAAATGTCACCGAAAAATCAGAAAAAATTCTAGTGTATTCCTCGAATTCTGATAACTTTTCATACTTCTCATTTTTTCGAAAAATTTCATAGTTTTCGAGTTAGAGCGCCCTGAAAATTTTCAAAAAAAATTTGTTTCGGACGCCATTTTGAGGACCGCCATGTTAAATTTTTTTTTCGGACCATACATATTTTAAAATTTAGGACTCGAGGACGCTTTTCTATGTGGTAAAAGATGTGTATATTGTCGGTATCATATAGAAATTTTAGATCTAAAATTTTATTTAGTCAAAAAAATGACATTCTTTGCAATAAATTGTATACAACTTTTTAAGCATTGGTGTTAGGCAAATTCTGAGGTCATATTCTGAGAGAATATGAAATTTTACATCGAGTATGGGTTCGATTTTTTTTTTGGCATAAATAATATGAAAAGAAACTGGATGAAAATGAGTTCAGAATTGAAGACATTCAGGACTTAATGGGATAAAAGCTGCAAAATTCAATTCCTTTTTTATGTTTTTGTATATATTTATAACTTATTTCTTATATATAAATATTACGACCGCATGCATTAACCTTATTTATTTTTATAGAAGTCGAATATGTGAAAAATTTTTAACAACTATCCTTGGTGGAACTAAATCGCTGAAATCGCTATAAAATCTTCATCAATTGACCTATTTCAATATAATTCAGTTGAAATAGGTCAAGTGATAAAGATTTTACCGATTTCAGTGATTTATTTCCACCAAGGACATTTCCGTTTTTATTTTCACCAGCGATATTAATATTGTATATACATAATATGTATATCTATAACGTATTCAAAACAATTATATAACAACATATAACAGATTGAAACAAAACAAAAATATAACTATTATATAACAATTTATAACGTCTACGTAGCAAGTACTATATAATTGTTGCATAATCTCTGTTACTCATATGAGTGAGAAATTATAACTAACGAGAATGCCAACATATTACATCCTCGTTACATAACCTGTCATAATCGGATTTATAAATGTTACATCAATAGTATATAATTGCGTTTGCTGGATTTTTATACTTTGCAGAAAACTAGAAAATTATATAGGATTATATAGGACTATCTGAATCACAATATAAGTTAGAAATTAAAAAGAAAATTAAGAAATACTGTACATAATCTTTTTACTATAATATAGCTATAACAATAAAAATTCATACAATGAGCATAAAACCACACACTAGTTCTTATTTGTGATAAATTATCATAAAATAAATAATTTATTCATATCATTATCATAATTAATCAATAAACGTTTCGGTCATTAACTTGACCATCTTCAGTATTATAATATAGTTATAAATAAAAATCCTAAATTTATGCATGTGTCAAAAGTTTTAAAAAATTTCGCTATTTAGTTTTTCGCTTACAACGTTAACTACGCAATCTTGTTCTTTTTGGGTCCTTCTTCATGACCATAAACTGCTGCTAATATACGCTAACTTGTGTCATCGTGATCGAAAGTCGTTACAATTACGCCTTTTTTTTTGTTTTGTTGGTTGATGAAATATAGTTACCAAACTATATTCCGACAAACGTAGAAGTCATATCATAATGTACAAACAAAGTTATAACTGACAGTATTGTTAAAGTGTTCAATTGTCCAACGATTTTATACTTCTTTGTTTGTACATAAGAACAAGATTGTGTAGTTAACGTTGTAAGCGGAAAACTAAATAGCGAAATTTTTTAAAACTTTTGACACATGCATAAATTTAGGATTTTTATTTATAACTATATTGTAATACTGAAGATGGTCAATGATTAATGACCGAAACATTTATTGATTAATTATGATAATATAAAAGTAAGAAAAAGGAGCATATACCACACGCTGGTTCAAAGTAGCGAAAAAATAGTGTATTTAATAATACTAAAAATTACATAATTATAATTATAAACATAGCTATAATTATAATTATGTAATTTTTAGTATTATTAAATACTATTTTTTCGCTACTTTGAACCAGCGTGTAGTATTTGCTCCTTTTTCTTACCTTTATTTCTAACTTAACCACTTGATCTTTAAATCAATTATGATAATGAGATGAATAAATTATTTATTTTATGATAATTTATAACAAATAAGAACTTGTGTGTGGTTTCATGCTCATTGTATGAATTTATTGTTTTTGGATCTAACCACGTTTTTGTGAAAGTTATTTAATATAGCTATATTTTTATTTAATCTATACTTTTAGCTGTAAATTAAATATTTTGATAGAAAAAAAATTATAACGCTATAATTAAAATGTATAACAGAAGTTTTGCAAAAAGGGGTGTTTTCCAATTGCTCAACATAAATGTACACAGAAATGTAACGCTTTTTACATAGCTCAATTAGAACAAAGTGTGTACTATGTTTAGATTAAGTTAAACTAAATATAGCTTGTACGACTGTATTAAGTAAAAACACTCAATGTTCTACAACCACATTTATAGCTGTTGTAATTATTTAATAACATGTAATTGTTATATAACCGAATAATGTATCCAATTGCAAAGTAACGATAAAAGTATTATAACTATAAATTTCGTCATCGTTATCCAAAAAATGTAACTAAGTTACCCCATTACAGTTACCAAAAAAAGAAAGTAACACAGTTACCAGAAAAGTTATGAAAAAAGTAACTTATAACTGTAACTTCATTACAAGTAACGAGTTACTTTTACTTCCATTTCCTGGTTATTACATTAGTGTGCTCATTCGGCAAGACTTGCAAATGATTTTTCAATTTTGTATCGAGAGTGTAATTAAGCTTATCATTCTAAAAATGATATATATAACATTATTCATAATAGTGATAGAAATATGTATTTGTTGATAGAAACTTGTAGAGATAAACTTGAAACACAACTTACATTTTGTGACTTTGTTGGTATAGTTCCTTCAGCTGAACTAAAGCTGTCTGATGACAATTCAAGATGTTTAATGGGTTTCACCATCAGTCTGTAAGATTTAATTATTTTAGATAATTCTTCCAAAACCACTCTGCAAAGCATATGTAAATGTAAAAAAATATGACCATTTTTTGTCCACTAATGCAAACTTAAAAAACAATGAATCAGATAGATTTCGACTTGATGAACACAATGGTGCCATTAGTTTTCATTGAAAATCTGGGGAACATCATTATTTTTCAGTTTATAGTCCTTATTTTGTTGAAAAATAGGACATTAATAACTTGCAAAAATAACAATATTCTCCAGATTAAAGCGGGGAGCACAGACTTTTGCATAACGCATAAACCATATACATAAAGA